TTGTTGTTATTCATATCTTAACACATGTTTGTTATCTTATTTTAGACATGTTTGTTGTTTGTTTAAGTTTATGTATTTGTATTATTCTAGTGATTTGTGATTCCAGGTCAACAGCAATGCCCACTTTTCAAGAAGAAAAAATTTTGTTTTTCTTCATTAACTTGTCTTCTGTAAGCACAAACTAGTCTAGTTTTAAGACAGCTATTGGTTATTTTGTTGCTCTTCTTGTTTTTTTAAAGCCTCTTGATATGTTTTCTAGATAGTTAAATTGGTTTTTGCAGGTTTTTTTCTTGGTTGTTTGTGTCCAAATGATCATCAAAGAAAGTTGATGTGATTTTACAGTAGTATATTTCATTATTATAATGATTTATATCATTGTCTCAATAGATATTTTATTTTTATAATGATTTATAATATTATTGCTTAACATTATCTTATAGTATATAGTATTAAAAAAAAATATATATAACCTGCCACTTTTTTTAAGATAAAAGAACAGTTGTTCTTTATATTTTGGTCACTATAATTTTATAATTACATATCTTGGTTTTGAAAATAGGCCTCACTTTTATTTTTTTATAAATTTGTATTAAGAATTAGTCCTATTTTTAATATCTTTATATAATTTTTGTTGAAAATAAGTTCCTTTTTTGTAATATTTTTTTGAAATTAAAGTTATTTTTCTTAAATGATATATTTATTTTATCTGTGCTATTCTATTGAGTATTATCTGAGTTAATAAATCTCTTTTTTGTCCATAAACTTTATTAGTTATAACCTTTCTTAATAAGTGTTACTATAGCAATAAATCGACAATATTTTATCTTAATTATAAACTATTTTTTTTTATAAAATATTATAAATACATTTCTTAACTACTTGAACACTTAGTCAAGTAAAGTAACTTGTTGACTTCAAAGGTCTAACTTGTTATATTACAATACTATTTATAATGTATAATATACAAACTTTAAATATTAATAATTTTTTTCAATAAAAAAAATCTTTCAATACATTAGGCAACTCTTTCTAACAATCACTTGGTCAACAACAATCTACCAAACTACAGTTAGCGATATAGAAAAGCAATATAATAGATATAACAATATTTCTAGTTTTGTACTAAGCTAATTTGTTGTTAATAAAGTCTACAATATGTGAAATACTGAGGAGTGGGCGTATAAGAATATTAGGCAGGTTTGTGCCTTGAGTTAAGTTTTCCTGTTTTCGACAGACTTCCTAGCACATTTGACATCCAAACTAGAAGATCTATTCTAGGAACAAGTAGAGCAAAGTCTCTGGGCAGGAATATTGTGTAGATACTAGAAAACTAGACTATACAACTATAAAACTTACAAGAAAAACCTCACATATTCTTGTTAACTTCACTTTTTTTTGAAGAAAATTTTGTAAAATAGGCAATTTAGTTTACCACCTCCAAAAAATCAATATATTGTTTACTTACCAAATTAGTTGCATTGTTTACATTTTTACCTATCACAACAAACACATGAATTCTATAGAACTAGACATGTAGATTACATGACTCAAATATGGCAACTCAGACAAACAATAACTTGAGACCTCCAGTACGAATTCCTAACCTTTCTGACCTCTCTATAGTGCCAACATCGAAGAAGCTATTTTTTTTACCTTGTCATAGGATTTTTTTTTTATCTTAGATATGCTATATATATAATTTAGAGTAAAAACTAGTTTAAATAGTAGTATATAATTTTTATAGAGCTTGATACTATATATGCTGATGAAATTATTTTAGGTTTCGGGATATGAAATTAAAATTTGAAGACGAAATTGTTTTTGATCCATTTTACTTAAAAGATGAAATTTTTTGACACTTTTTTTAAAGAGACAAAATTATAAGGAATATAAGTACCTAAATTAGATTTGCTATTGTATATAAAAAATTCTAAATTGCTTTAATAGAGACGAAATAGGAGTTTTTTGAAAACCTATTTCAGTGACATATATACTTGATTCAGGCTTATAATTGTGACTGTCTGGTGCGAGTGAAAAATACCATATTTAGTTTGGTTTTTTTTGTTTTCACCTTCTCCCTTTCTTTTCTTATTTGTATTTTTTAATGTTATCTCCTATATCTCTATGTTTCTTTAAAAATTTTTTCTTTTTTTTCACTTCTCTATAAGAAGATATCATCAGATTGGTGATATCCTATTGTAGGATAGTGGTCAGACGAGCCCTCTGGTTAGAGTATATTTTATATCTTGCTAGTGCGGCAGGTCGCCTATAGGTGCTTGAGTGAGAAGTAGCTGTAGAATGTCAGGACTTAAGTTTTATTGTTTTGTATCTTCCATGAAATAATGACTTAAATAAACAGTGTCACTGGCGTGATCTTGCCTAAGTGAAAAAAAAATATTAATAACTTTTGTTTTAAAAAAAAATCAAAAAAAACTGCTATTTTGTAACAACATTAATTTATTACAATTTAGTAACTTTGTTTTTTAAAAAGTTATAATAACTTCTTAAAATATATGCCTTTAAAATATAGTATTTTTAGGTTTAGGTTACAAATAACTTCAATGTGGGCTCTGTTTGAGTCTCTAGTCTTAGTATTCTTTGGATATAAAGTTCAAATAATGTAATTTCTTTTTTGTAAAGAAGTTTAATTAAATTTTAATAAAAATAAAGGTACATAGCTTCACCTTTGAAGATTAAAAAAAAGCATATGACAACTTAGTAAAATGATGAAGTTGGCACACTCTTAAGTAGTAGGATTAGTGTTCAAATCTCACTGATGATGAAAAATTCTAATTTCAGAATATATTATGACAGACTGTGAGTATAATTAGACAGATTGGTATCTGTAATCTGGTTATATCAGCTTGTACTGGAAGGCTGTGAAACAGTAGTATAATGTATAAGTTATACAAAACATGAGTAAAATAGCTATATAAATCTAGAGTCAATGCACACAGAAGCCTACTTGGCAAGACTCGAATAGAGAAGTAGTACAGATTTTCAACAATACTACATAAAGGATTATTAATCAGGAAACCAGAAAACCAAATGGGACCGAAGTGTTTGACAAGACATTTCGCCAGAGAGTAATCAGAGAAAAAGAACCCAACTATGAGGACCAGGAGCAGGTCACAGCCCTTTCAGGCCATCTGAATTGGAAGTTTAGAATGACAAGTGCATGGCGAATAGTCTATATAGTGGGTGTTAAAGTTTAGATGAACTTTATAAAGGTAGTAGCAGATAACTGTAGTAGCTTCAGCTTGCAAGTACTTGTTTTCAGACTCAGCGTAAGTTACTGAAGAAGACTAGGTAATACAATAATAATAGATATCGGACTGCTCTAGCAGATGATGCACTCGAAGATGAATCAGTTAATCATGCTAGTAGTCCTATAAGTGGATATGCGATAATCTTGGAACTTGGACTGATTTATGTATTACATGTTCTAGGTAAGATTAGATAGATTGACATAGAAAACTCAAATCAGAAGGTTTAATTAAGTTACTCAAGTAATAGTAGGTTATAAGTACGGCATCTAGTATAGAATCTAGTAATAGGTAAATACTTAATTAGATGCTTAAAAGGCACAGTTATAGCTAGAATGTACCCTTGTCAGAATGTACTTGTCTGGAGCCTCCTTGAAAAAAGCACCACATGATTCTATAATCTAATAAAAGCAAAAAGCCAAAGAGGCTAACCTTGACTACAAAAAAAAATAAAATAAAAAAGATTTAAAAAAAATATATATATAACATTTTTATAAAATCACATATCAAAAAAATCAAAAATGAGACACATTTAAAACAAATAGCCAATCAAATTAGCTTAAATTTATATAATTAAATTTTAAAAAAATTTAACCAATCAAAATTCAAGAAATTTTTCCAATCAAAATTAAGCAACTTTAAAAAACATCAAAAATCAACATTTTAAAATAAATTAAATTTTAAATTTTTAAATTTTAAAAATAGAACAAATGTAGTCTTTAAGTGTCATGCACTATAGCATTGTATACAACACTGTGGGTATTATTCAAGTCCTTTTTTTTTTTAAATTAAATAGTACTTGAGAGCACTGTGTGATGGTTTGGGTACTACACCTGAGTGTTTATCATGTAAAGGATAGGCGGTGACTAGTACCTTGGTCTTAGTAACATTTGTTGAGATACTTAATATAAAGTTAGACTAAATAATTTATTTATGAAGTAGCGTTGCATGGTAATCTTATAAAACTAGAATAATATTAGTTGAGATTAAATTCTTTAAAATCAGGTGTTTATAAATGTGTTGGGCGGCAAATTTATCCAGTGCCAGTAAGGTTGTTGGTTTAGATAGTTTATTCGAAATCTCTATTTTTTTTTTTTATACTTTTTTTTTAGATGAAAAAAATCAAACCCCTCTATAGTCACACCTTCGGGATACAAAAAACCGTGATTATAAAGAGGTATTTTTTATATAATTGGTAAAAGTAAATTTATGATTATATACTTGTGACTATAGAGGAGGTGACTATAGAGGGGTTGATTGTATAATTTTTAATAGCTATATAATTTGCTAATTATGCTCGCATTTTTGTTGCAAACGAATGGTGGCCCTGGTGCGTATGTAATTTACTACGTGATCTTCAAGACAAAAACTCTATACGATACGTTCCTGGTTTAAGCGCGACTGCGTCGCGCAGCTACCCTTAATTAAATAATCTTACCACCATTAGAATCTTCTCGATCTGAAGAATAATCTTTGTTAAAGCACAAAAGTAGGTTTACTAAATACCAAACCTAGTTCTGGAGCAATGTTTGTTTGCTTACTAATAAATAAGCACCCGTTATTTTGGATGCACATGGGCGTTATTTTAAAACCACATGCTATTTTTAAAGTGCAATTTTCTAAATAACGCTCATGAGCGTTATTACGCGAAATACGGTACAGGTTAAAAGATAGCACTGATTTTATTAATATTTGAAAAAAGTTGGATAATAAACACAAGCTTATAATCACATTTTATTTATTTATTTCTTGGGTAGACAATAAAAACAACCTTTCAAACTCTTTTGAAAACGTCATGAACTCGTTTCCATCTTTATCTTCCCCTTTAGTAATAATGTTAAAGCAATTTTGACTCAATTCACCTAATAATAAGTCATCAAGTAACGGATGTAATTGTATTCTATCGTGTGTTAACTTATCGATTATTATTCGGACATCTTATATAGAAATTATAAAGTTGATATAAGCTTAAAAAATATAATGATAAACATCGATAAAGCTATTATTTACCTTTCGAAATGCTTTCTGTGTCTGATACAAGTTCAATCATCACTGAAACTGTTGCTATCACTCTATACATAACAATAAACACGTTGGGAAGTGAGGTAAAACCAATTGGCCCATTCTTGTTGGTCTTAGTGGAAAACAAATAGACAAGAAATCATTTAAAAATTTAACCCAAATACTGTACACAACATAATAAATAATCTAAATACCTGTACTTCGCGTGAACTTATAAATTCGCATACCATGATTAATTGTTTGACACAGAACCTTGGAATATCTTTCCTAAACATTTCAGGAAACTCCAATCTATCTCTTTCCTTTTTTATAGCTATTAATAGATACTTATAAGCTAATTGGATATCAACCAAATCTTCTTTATATATATTTGGATTCTCTATAGCAAACAAAACTCTAGATGGAGTCATTTCTGATTTTAATATCTCATCTTTTTGAATAAAAACAATATTATGAAATATTAAGTTAGCATTTGATATTTGTTCTTTAAGTGGGGCATTACGTATAGGAAATTTATACCTGGTTTAACGTCTCTTGTCAATATTTGTAATAACGCTACATATAAATGAAGTGATCTAGAATATTGGTTTGTCATGTGCTCATAACATAATTCTCGTGCCCTATCACAATCAACTGGGTCCTTTAAAAAAATAAAAATAAAAATAAAAATATGCATAAAAACAAAAGCTCGTATTTACTTTAAATATCAATGATTTAATCCGACCTCCAAACCCATAGCTTTGGATACAATTAATGCAGCAGTTCGACGTATATCAATGTCATCATCCTTTTTTGTAAGAAAAAAAAATCAGAATTAATGTTTCAAATGAAATAATCCAATTAAAGTTACCTGAGTAAGTCGAATGAGAACAATATATAAAGATATAAAATATTGTATATCGTCATTATTAGTGGAAAGGGTCTCTTTTTTAAACAGAAGTCTACTAAATAATTGTAACGATTTTGTAGCTGCTTCACGCCGTGTCAAAGTCTACGGGATAGAGATATTAAAAGTAATTTCAGCAAATGTAAGGTAAATAAAATAGTTTATGAAAATACTTACAATTTCAGGTTTAGTATTTTTATTTATATATTCGGTCCAATTTTTCAAACTCAAAGACCTGAATTCGTGTGGCAATGAAGTTTCGTTCCATATCTAGTATGCATAGAAACTTTAGCTAAGTAAAATCCATTCAAATTCGTAAAATTCTAATTTATCATTGCTCAAAGTCATTTACTTCAGCCGTCAAAGCTCCCAAAAGTATTAATGTAGCTTCTATTATGGATGAACTCTTTGATTTTTCCATATATCTGAACAATTTTTTACAAAATTCTTCCAAATCTAACCTAATTGAAAGTTGCTGAGATGATATTAAACTTGACTTTGGAAATGGATAGTCCGAGTTGATTAATATAAGTAACTCTACTATGAGTTGAATGCACTTCGGGTATCGTTCTTCATGATATATCATTGTAATTAATTTTGATTGAATCATTGACATAACGCTGCTTGCAAATATAGCAAATATTAAATATGGAAGTAAATTAAATAATCAGCTATATAAACTAGAAAGCATTATACTAAAATAGCTGTATTTATAGTGATGGTCACTTTATTAAACTTATCAAAAAATGTACCTTGTACCGATATGTATAGCGTCCATCTCAAGAAAATATTCCAAAAGCATTTCCAGAGCAGTAACTCTAACTTCATATTCTTCATCACTCAAGATATTTATCATAATTTCATTCCTTTCTATTGTGTCTTGATTCAACAGCGATTTAATTATCACTTTTGCAATTTGTTGTCGAGTTAGGAAGTTTCCAATTTTCAGAGTAGCATCAGATTTGTCAAAAAGATTTGATACAGAAAAATCAAATATGGTTTGTCTCATTTTTGCAAACTTTTCGTCCATCAAGGTTATTAACACTTCAATTTTATCAAAAATATTAGTTCAGTTTATTTATGATTAATGAAAACCTATATTAATATGAAGTCTAATTTGGCATACCTAATCGCTTCCGCTTATCCTGCTCGTTAAGTGTCCATTTAGAATCAAATACAAATTCATTGATTATTTCTAAAAATAAATATTTAGTCATTTCACAAGGATTTTCATAACAAATAACGGGAATCTTTGGCATTATCATTAATTCCATTTTATTTATAAATTCTTTAAAACAAAATAAAAAAATATATATATTAGTGTTGATATAACAATATAGTAAATATATCATAGTAAAACAAACCTTTTGTCAAATCAAATCCAATAAGATTCCTACCAAGATGTCCACGCATTAAATATTGTATTTGAACCAATCTCCCATGTAATTCATTTTGATTACTTATTTCGCATGCATTAAACAATTCGATACAAGTAATAATTAAATCCTGTGACGCAATTAATGGGACAAGTGATCTTGCAGACATTTCCCGCACCTATATACATGTTTTAATTAATTTTCAATGACTCTAAAGTTATTGGATCAAATTATCAAGCATTTAATATAATAATTTTAATTATACTCTGTAAATTGGTGAAGAGCAACAAGACTTCACAAGTGTCACAAAAGGATTCATATTCAATGCTGAACTTTCCATTAATGATGGATGTAATCGAGATAACAATGTAAGAATCGGATAAAGTCCAGGATACACTTCCGTTTTATTATTCTAGCGAGTATTAATGGAATATATACGTTTTAACCATAATATCAGTGAGTGACAAATCGATAACTCCTTATTCAATATCTTACCTGTGTTGGTTTTACAAGTTGATTAACTGCAATTTTAAGTTCATCCACTAGAAAGGGATGTAATTTTGGAAACCTTGAAAAGAATTCGCGACTAGTTAATTGGTTAATAGAATGGTGTTCATCTTTTGTTTTCTTTGTACCAAGAGTCCTTTGCAAAAGCGTAGAAAATAGCATTACTGAGCAATTTCGAATGGCCCAACTTTTAAAGAAACAATAAATATTAAAATCAATTTTTTATGAATGACCAATCTAAGTATTAAATATTACAAAAATACCTATATGAACAAAACCCATTAATAGCCAACATAAATCCGTCAGAAACATAAGGTAAAACATCTGCTCCTAATTTAGCATCCATAAATATTGTTCTCAAAATATTAAAAGCATGAACTTGAGGTAAATCAACAATTTGTTGATCAATGTCTCCATCAGATGAAATATTTTGGGAACCAATGTCTAGTAAAGTTTTCATGGCCCATGGAAGTAGTATTTTTTGAGTACTTGGTTCACTACTAACTATTGCCAAGATGCATAATGGAAGGCCAGCACTTCGACGAGTTATGGATATTGAATTTGTTGTTATTGCGCAAATGTCTTCCTTATTATATCCAAAGGAATGATATTAATGTATGTTAAACGATAAATAAGTAAATATAATAGTGGTTTATACCAACTTTAAGCCACTTTTTAGGCAATTCAATAAACTCTATTTGCGGTGAATCTAGCAATCGAGAACAGATTGATACATATCCTGGATATACTGCTGAGAATGCACCCCTATGGCGTATAGATGTCAATAACGTTCGAAATAATGCACCTCCGTCTCGAACTTGTTCATAATTAAGTATTGCTTCCTATAAAATAACATTAAGAGTATAGTTATAAATGAATGAATGACAGATATTTAAAAATATGTGTAAATTACATTATCTATTAAAGTAGTGGCCATTGGCGCTCTCGACAATATTATGGACAAGAGAGCGCTGCATAATCAAAAGATTAGAATAGGATTAAGTAATAACGATAGTTAACATTGTTAATTAAGTAATTGGCGGCCATTACCTTGCTTCTTTCACAGCTCTCCAACAACAACTTAATATGACTTGATGTTTAGGCCCCTCATCACTTTCCACATCCACATCGTTGCTTGAATAAACAAATTCTTCAATAAACTCATCCATCTCTTGAAATGATGCAGGAACATTTCCTTCAGGTGATGGATCTGATAATATTTCAAGCACTATTTGACATACTTGATTAGTCAATGAGATAACTTTGTCATGAACAACGCGCCATTCCATTAAATTATACTTTATAATTGTGGAATTGTAATCTAGTTTTTGAAATATGTATTGGAGTGCGAGTAATGTTCCATGCATTGGATATTTTCGAGATGCAAGTAGTAGGTTCTGAGATGCAATTTTAATTTGCTTCTCTAAAAGTACCATTAATTTCCCAATGAATGCAGCTAAAGCATTGTCATTTTATAAAATATATTCAATAAGACATAATTCGTTTAAATAACACGAAAAAGTAAATTATTTACTTGATTTATCATTAAATTCCGAACTCAAAGAGGAGACAGGAGGACTTTTATCTAATTCCACGTCCAAATCATATCCAAGTTTTAACACATATTTTGAAAATATTAGGCTAAATATTGTAGCACCACTATCACTTTCACCAGCTCTCGTGCTAGTCATTAACTGAAATGCCCAAAGCAAAATTTCCTGCACATCATCGAATAATTTAATTCCTGGTAATGGCGAAGGAAACATTTCTAGTATTTCATATGATAACGTTCGGATTTCGTCAAACGAATTCATTAGACAATTTAATATTAATTGTACATTCCTAGTTGTAACAAGCGGAAGCTGAAAAGGAAAACTTGACGACTCATTTTGTTTATCTACATATTCTTTCGGGAATGAAGATTCATTACGAAGGCCAAATGTTCTGATTAATATGATAAATATTTTAAGCGCGCAAGACACTCTCTGAAACGATGCACCAGGATATAACGAAGCAACCAATAATTCAATTAACCAGTTCAAAAAATTTTGCGAAACATCAATCTTATGTTTTAATTGCTCTGCCTCCAATAACGCTTGTGAAACTTTTATATTCTTAATGGTGGAGCTGTTATTTTCTACATATTTTAAAAGAGATTTATAATCTCTCCATTGAGCATACAAATTTCCTTGAAGTCTAAAAAATAATTTATTCAAATGTCCATACATCTTCTGTCTAAATTCAGGAGAAGTTGAATTTAGATTTAATTCGAAAAATGATTTTAAAAGTGAAAGTTCAGTTGATGTCACTTCTGTTGTTGATTTTTGTGATTCGCTGATTAGGCCAAGGACATCAATTCGAAGGTTTGGATCTATATGATATATCGCATTACGAAGAGATTGTAGCTTGATCTTTTTATCATCACATGAATCAGATTCATCTAAAATAAATAAAATAATTTATCAATTTAATTGAATTTTAAAACCATTTATTAAAAACTTTATTAATATCTGTAATTAAGACCTTCGATCAGCATTCTACCATCAACTAAATCCAATGATCTGGCAGTTTTAATGATTATTATTAATGCATTTAATCGATAATGTTCATCTTTCACAAAATCATTGGATAATTTATTATATTTAATTATATCCAAAATTTTCCAGAATGATAGTGGATCAACTTTAAATAAAGGTTTTAAAATAAAACCACCAATATTGTTACGTAGAGTATCGTTAGGTGATGTAAGACATTGACATACAGGTGTTAACCATAAATCAATCCAATCATTAATTACAGCCTATAATTATAGAAGTACAACGTTAAATGAAGTTCATGATCAAGAATATATATGATTATAACTCAAACCTCTTTCTGCATTTCAGAAGTTTTTTTCTTTTCATTATTGGGTTCAATTTGTTTAGTAGATGTCTCTAGTAACTCTTTTAAAGACTGTTCAAAGAAAGACGCGAGCAATTGAGAAGATCGTGGCGCAATTGTCGTATTATGCAATACCTCTAAAGTCCGCTGCACAAAATCAACTTGAATCTTAAGAAAGACATTTGTTCTGACTCTAGGTAATAGTAATAGTAGCAATACATATTTCACTTTACGGTATGGATCCATCAATAATAATTGTTTTAACAGATTACTAAAGAATTGATTATAACAATCATCTGTATTTTCATATTTTCTCTTGATACTTAAAATATCTAATAATTTTTCAAAGATAGTCTTCACCTATTAATGAAACGAATATTACTAAATTATATTAGATAAAATTGTAATAAAAATATTTTAAGCACCTTGTATTGAATAGCATCAACAGGGTCATCACAATTATTCCAAACATAAGACATCAATTTATCTAAGTTCTGAGAATCAAATATAGCCTGAATTTCTAAAACTTCATTATTATTTACGTTAGAGCCTCTCAAGATAATTTCGGTTTCTTGAAGCCACATTCCCATTGTTTCAAATGCCATAACTTTTGTTTGAGAAGTAATTGCATTATCACAGAAATAAGTAATACTCAAGAATAATATATGATGGAGTGATGATGATTTACAATCACTATGATTTTATTGCAAACAATAGTAAATAATTTATTTGCAACAGATTTATAAAAATTATTAAAACCAAACCTTAATATGTGAATTTTTGATTTGAAATTTGAGATATGATGCATGAGACAAGCTCGTGATAGATTAGACAATAATCCCCGGCATACAACTAACATCGTTGGACATTCGCCTTGCCATCCATTTTCCATTAACGGCATATCAGAAGTCTGAATTCTTAATAATGACATGATTAATGACTCCCGTTCCCGAGTGATCGGCCATACGAAGAACAACGATAAAACCAAATCATTTACATATTGTAATGAACCCAGTAGGTTTAAAATTGCAGCTAACGTCATTCCAGTCAATAGCCTTACATCTTTAACATATATTTCATCAGAACATATGGTAATGCATCCATTAAGCAGATCTCTAATTTTTGTTAACTCTACAGAATTATCATCACAACTTTCTCTTATCAACTCAAACTTTGGCCTTAGAATCTTGTCAAATCTTGACAATAAAGCCAACAAAGTTTTTATTACATGTTGAGCATCATTCATATGTTGAGAGAACATAAGTGAATTAGCAAATATTTCAATATCATTAATTGGTTTTGATTCTTTCTGACACATTCCTAACACGTTACTTTCTTCTAGCTCATTTCTCACTCGATTGATGATAATCATTACACAATTTATCAAGAAATAAATAGTTTCGAACAAATTTCTTTTTACAATTGACAGTCCCAGAGGAAAATCTAACATTAGATAAATAGCAATTCCTTTTTGACATAATGTCTGTGTCGTGTAATTATCATGAGTTATGTATGCAGAATATTCTTTTGAAAATTCCAAGACCATATTATTATCTGCATCAAAATTAAAAGATTTTATTGACTCTGTGCCATGGTTACTGAGTAATTGTGCCGACAAAAAATAGCAAGAATCAAATATTGGGATACAACGTTGTTTTACTAATGGTTCTATCGAAGTAAAGTATATCCCTACAATTATCGGTTCAAGAACTGACTCGATCTGATGAATGAAATTAGGTGAAAGGTTTATTTTATTTAACGTTTGGGTGAAATTGAGTTTCTTTGACGGTAATGATTTTTCTATAAAGTAATTAAACCATTTAGTAAGCATTAAAAAAAAAAAAAGTTAATATCATGATTTAAAATTTACCGATATCCCTTAAATACTGGCATTGTTGCTCCCAGGTTGCATCAGTGCTTTTAAGAAACAATGAAATTTTTTGAATGCTCTCGTGTAGCTCTTGTGATTGATAAGTGGCGATGTATGTTTCCAAGATATCGCACCAAGATGGATTAATTGGCATTGGAGCTTTTAAAGACTTTAATGGCTTGTTTTTTTCTAAGAAGCCCATTTTCTGAATACCGATCTTGATAAAGAAAATCTATGAAAAACGTGTAAAATTGATGTTTAGTATGCTTTCAAAAAAAAAGATGTCGATTTTGATTGGCTAACGGCCGTGATCTACAAAATTTTGGCCCGCATTATATAATTGTTTACATAATTTTTGGCCGGAATTAACTTTTTAACCTTTTCATTCCCAAAATGGAAATTATTAGAGAAATAGGCCCGCACAATGGTAAAATTAGCCCAGGAATATTTTTCACTTAATGTGCGGCTGTGGTTTCATTAGTAAAATTTTGAGTAACTTTGGCCTAAATTATTGATCGTCGCTATTAGCCAATCAAAATCAAGAGATCGTCGCTCATAGCCAATCAAAATCAAGTATCATCCGTGACAAAATTGGTGCGGCAAGGTCCAGGTGCGCCAACAAAATTTCACTATCACGTGACAGTGTTGTAGTGCACGAAAGTTAGGGTTAGTGCTTATGATATAGTTCGACCAATGGTCGAGTTGTAAACGAAGATCATTGGGAAATGGACGAGCAAGCGAAGATTGACAATATCACATATGTTGGCCTGTTTTATTATTGGCTGGCCCAAATTACGTAGTATAATTACAAATTATAATTTTTTTTTTTTTTTTTTTTTTTTTTTTTACTATATAAGCTAATTACTGATCAGCCTTCTACTTCTAGACCGTTTTATGTAAATTAGTATTATTCAACTAGGGTGTGGTATAAAAAACTAAATGTGCAATATAATTTTTATAGTTGGGTGGGTGCAGCATGATATTGTTAATCTTCGCTTGCTCGTCCATTTCCCAATGATCTTCATTTACAACTCGACCATTGGTTGAAATGAACTTCACAAGCTATGAATGACAATATCACGTGTGATCTGTGGAGTATCATGTTTTGTTTGCTTGCTCAAGTATTTTAATAGATATATTATTTCGTTCTATGAATTTTCTTATCCCTCTTAGATAAAACTTTCGATAGACTTTGTTAGACAACCAATTACCAAGAGTAAGTATGGTGTTAACGTCAGTGCCTGATTCTTGAGCTAGATAAGCTGCTATTGCCCTAATATTCTTGGCTTTTGCATTTGGATTAGCATAGGTTAATATATTTTTTAGCCACCCGGATATGGTATCTACTGAAGCTGGTGAATGTGAGTTTGTAGTTGATAGAAATAAGGTGTCTGTATTCGTTTCATCTTTTTTCCATTCCTTAGTATGATCAACACCGCAGAGGCAGGACATAATGAAGGTTCTTTATTATAAAAATCTATAAAAATAGTTTTTTGTCTTGATTTTTTACCCGCATGTGCAATTGAAATTTTATGCTTCTTGGGGTTGATAATGTTAAATAAGAGTCCATTTTGCAGTGTAGTCATTGATTTTAATAATATGCGATGAAGATCGCTTGGTTTTGAGGCTGTGGTTATTGCCATAAGGAATGCCATTTTTCTGATCAAATTTATAATCAACATGTCCCTATTGGTTCCCAAAGCAGTAATGTGTTCAAGTGAGGGTGTTATATCAATAGCATCTTCAGGTGGTGGAAGTGGAGGATTTTTCTTATAAATGATTAACATTAATTTTGCTACAGCAGGGTGGCGTCCAACTTTATAACCCTCAATGGGTTCGTAGGCCTCACTGATAGCTATACGGTATGAGGCTATGGTATTATACGCCATACCCATATCATTCATATCAGTTAAAAAATTAAGTATAGGTTTTATATCACACCGAATGGATCAGTTGATGATTCCTGACACCAAACCAACCATTTTCGAAGAGCTGATCTAATGGTGCTGTTCGTTGATCTTTCGGTAGCTTCTTCCACCAAGTTGCAAGCTTTTTCTGAAAAATCCTCCTTCTGGAGGTTTTGTCTAAAATATGACAAGCGAAGATTTTCCACTTCGGATTGCGAATGGGTTGTTGAAGACTTATACGTTCTGGTATAAATGGTTTCTTGTCCCTTATCAATAATGGGGGGTCAATCAGAAGGTCTAGTAGTATTGAAAACCATGATGCAGTCATCCAATATGGGGCTATTAATATGATTGTTGCTTTGTCTCTTATTACTTTGGACAGAATTTTGTGCATTAATATCCAAGGGGGGTTGGCCCAACCCTTCTGTATTGACCAATCCTGCATTAGAGCGTCTACTGCTTTGCAACCTGGATCTGGGTATCTCGAGTAATAATTCAGTAGTAGTGTATTTATCCTGTTCACAAACAGATCTACATGAAAGGGGCCCCACATATTCTGAATTCTTTGAAAAATTCTGGGTTTGAGTATCCAGTCGTGACAGTTGAACATTCTTCTCGAAGCTAAATCCGCAAGTAGATTCTGTTTCTCTGGGATATGTTGGGCTATGATCTTGATGTTTTGTGATAGGCATAACTGCCATATCTTTTCCGCTAAATAACTGAGATTTGATAAGACTGTTTCTCCCTGATGATTGAGGTAAGAGACACATGTCATGTTGTTAGTTCTTATTAGTATGGCTTGGTTCTTGAGGTCCTTTAGTGCTAAGAAAGCATAATGAATTGCTGTGAGTTCGAGTACGTTTATGTGCAAGTGACTTTGTTGTTCGTCTCAGTGCCCAGAAAGAAGCCAGGTTTTTTGAGCTATGCCTCAGCCCTTTGTTGATGCGTCTGTGTATATAATCGTTGTGGATAAGTCTGAGATTATACTTGTAGCATTCCATTTTTTTAAGTTTTATATCTACTAGATTAACTGTTGTTGAGCTTCTATTGAAAGTGTCAGGTGAGAATTCTATCTCACATGCTTCAAGGCTGTATTTTTGTCTCTTAAGAGTGCTCTTGTTATTAATTAAGCTGAAAAGATAGCTCCAATAGCTGCTAAAAGCTTCTCTATGATTGCGGCTAACTTTCTTATGTGGAATGATTGTTTGTTGAGAGCAAGTTTGCAATCTCTGATGATGTCTAAAATCTTTGTCTTTGGTAGGGATATGGTTATCAATTTTGAGTTTATTGTGAATCCAAGATACTGAATCACCTGGGTGGGTATTAATGTTGATTTGATGTTGTTTATGATAAATCCAAGCTTGGTCAACATCTGAGAGACTTGTTTTGTTTGTTGTTCCGCTTTTTCTTTTGTTTCTGCACATATTATGATGTCGTCGATATAAGCTATCAGCCTTATGCCTATAGACCTTGCACATGCAATCACTGGTTTGAGAACTTTGATAAATATCTTTGGGCTGCTGGTCAATCCAAAGGGTAAACATGTATAATGGTATCTGCATTATGCAAAATCGAATATAAAGTACGGTTGCGCCTGCAAGGAAAATGGAATATGCAAAAAAGGCATCTGAAATATCGATAGACGTGAAATAATTGTTTTTTCTGATGATAGACTTTACATGTTCTATGGTGTCCATTTTGAAGTGTTTGAATTATACGAAGTTGTTCAAGTTCCTTAAATTGATTACCACTCTGTTTGATCCTGATTTCTTGGGTATTGCAAATATTCATGATACAAAACAAGGAGTTTGCATTGATACTTTGATGATTGCACCCTTCTCTTTTAATTCATGCAGTTCTGTCAATATAGTATCTTGTTCCTTTTTTGTCATAATAATGTCTTTGTATATTGGTTGTATCTTTAGTGGCGGCAGAAAAGACCATTTTGGCATGTACTCATTTTGTAAAATCATTGTTATCTATGATAGCCCAAACATATGTTCCCATTGATTTGTAAAATGTGATAACCTGGTGGCTACAGGCACTATAGTGTTGAAGGATGTTTTTATTCTTTCTGTATGAGGTGGCCCGATTGTATCATATGACCGCCTCTCTGACCGTTTCTCTGTTTATTTTGATTACGATTATAGAACCAATAGTTTCTCTTACAGTTATGATTATTTGAGTTGTTGAATCGAGAATGAGGTGGCCTTGTAAAATTACTAGTATTGCCTCTGTTGAATAAAGCACAGCTCTTGAATCTAAGAGCTTGATTGATAAATTTGTTAGTGGTATTCTCATTCTCAATAAGAGATTTGAGGTCTTGTCCAAAAACTTCCTCATTCTCATTAGCTGGGTTATAGTTAGGGGATATAACTTTAATAGTATTGTCTTGTCTTATTTTGTTAATATATAATAAGGAGTCTAATAACAAGGCCCTAGTATTCCTGACTGATGTTTCAATTGCTGACCAAGCCTGACACGCCTCATGTTCTGATTCTTGGGGCTTTGACGTGTAGACCGATTTAAGTATGTTTTCCACTAAACGTAATACTGCAGAGGTTCTGTAAGATATTCTAGACAAGGTTTTGTTTGTCTCCTTGGCATATGCTTCGATATTCAAATGAATTATAACTGTGACTAAATAAGAGTTTCCACATGCGTTTGTCCATAACAGGTGGGTTGTGTCTGATATTTGCATTGTGTGGTTTATTTTTGAGTATAATGGACCTTTCCTCCTTTGAAAGGATGTTTGTTGTCTTTATAAATTTTTGTAGGTAAACGTGCCATTTCACCCTGAGGGGTCCAAACATTTCGGGTGTTAGACTCAAATTCATATAAGTCCGAATCCGCGTCCAAGATGCTGTGGTTTGAAATATCATCATCATTAGCATCGTCCTCTCTGAGAATGTTATAAAAATTATAATTCTGAACATCTGAGTTGTTATTTTCACAAATGAGTGTAGTGTTATTGTTGTTATTATTGGTTTGTATTTTCAAATCATACATGTGTTCGTCAAGCATAATGAGGCTGTTGCAAAATAGCACGAACAGCAGCCAAAATAAAATGGCCTAGAAGCAGAAGGCTGATCAGTAATTAGCTTATATAGTAAAAAAAAAAAAAATTGTAATTTGTAATTATACTACGTAATTTGGGCTACCCAATAATAAAATAGGCTAATACACATGATATTGTTATTCATAGCTTGTGAAGTTCATTTAGATATTGGTGAGCATATAGTAAAATTTCTCAAGGAATTTTTTTTGTTAGAGCGCAAAAGGTGGTTTCTTATACAAATTTTCAAGAAATAACTGACTTTTTAAAAAACGAATGATTTGTTTTGATCTTCTAGATTATGTAACATTATATCAAAGCGAGACTTGCTATTGGATAAGCAATTGTAGATCCTCACATGATAGTAAAATTTTGTTGGCGCACCTAGGATAGTTGTTAAAGTGGAGCAAATTCACATAATCACACCCAATCGAATTATATAATTTGGATGATCGCCAATAAAGCAAAAACGAAAAACCTAAAAAATACAAAAAATGGCAGTTTAAACCTAAGGGGCTGACAAGTATTAGCTCATTATACCCCCCTCTGGGATTTTAATTTAATACCTCCAAGGTCAGATATTTGATATATATAAATAATATATATAACAAATTCGAATTTGTTATATGGGATCTTTGTCTTGAAAATCATCTTCCGACATTTCTGATCAGGGTAATTCGGACAAAAATAAACCTGAATACTGGTTCATATTCATATGTTAATCATTTTTTACTTTTATTGATTTATTGTTTATTTTTATTTTATTTTTTTTTTATTAACTAGCCTCTTTGACATAGGGATTTTTATTTAAGTATAATAGGCGGGGAGCTCACAATAGAACCCCAATTACATTAGAGAGTGCAACTAGCCACACGTGCACCTTTTGAGCATCTATTTAAGTAGTCTGCATATAGATAACTGTACACCATAGGTTCTACACTAGCTGCCATACCTATAATCCACTAGAGGATTACCTATTTAAACTCTCTGTAACGTATACTGCCCCTTATATCACCGGAACACTCTGTTACATTCGTCAGTCAAGAGTTCTGGATGCATACCATAGGCTTAGGGTTAATTTATCCTCAAAGCATTGTTGCTAGAGCTTTCCGTACCCACAATCCGGCTAACCTAGACTTTTGGTAACTTACAACAAGTCTGAGAATGAGTACTTGCGAGCTGAAGCCACTACCATTACCTACTACTGCCCTTATAGAGTTTATCCAAACCCCAGCACCCACTTTACGGACTGTCTACCATTTCACTAGTCCTCAAACTCCCAATTCAGATAGCCCAGAAGGGTGGACCCCTTCTTCAGAATACACCGATAACCTGGTTGGTATGGTGCCTTGCCGAACACCTTGGTCCTGTCTAGTTTCTGGATCTTTAGTAATAATCCTTTATGTAGCACTGTCAAAGATCTGTGCTACCTCTCTACTTGGAACTTGCCAAGCGAAATTCTGTGTGCCCAGCTCTTGAATTTACACAAACGCTTCACTTGGGTTTCATGTAATTCTTGCATCACACTATAGTTTCACGTTCTTCCAGTACAAGCTGGTATGACCAAAGCTACAGATCCGATGATCCATCAGATTACACACAATCTGCTATAACACATTCTGTAAAATTCGAATTTCGTCACCAGTAGGATTCGAACTTTTGTCCTGCTACTTGGAAGTGTGACAACTTACCAACTTCACTAAGTAACCACACCCTAATTCAATAATTTATTGAATAACTATTAATTAACATATAAATATGAACTGGTACTCAGGTTTATTTTTGTCTGAATTAACCTAACCGGAAATATCAGAAGGTGATTTTCAAGGCAAAGACCTATATATATTATTTGTATATATCAAAATACCTGACCTGGAGGTATCAAATTAAAATCTCAGAGGGGGGTATAATGAGCTAATACTTGTCAGTTCCTAACTTGGGTAGGTTAATTTAAAAATGTTGAAAAAGCAATTTGCTTATTAGTCATAGAACATGTCTATATATAATACTTTGAATTGCTGTTACTTATAAATTAAATGAGTTGACTCACTCCAATTTTATATGTAAATTTATACAAAAAAATCATTTAAATTTAATTTTTGTAAAAAAATATATATACTTTTCTTTAAACTTTAAATATATTCTTTAGCATTTAATGATCTTTAGTTTCAAGCCAAAGTTTTTAATCTCTAGTAGTTTGTTTTAAATCTTCTTTAAAGTTGAACAATTCTTTACTATATTCTTTTAAATCAAATAACTGATACACTCCTGTGCAATAATATGATTGATTAAAATAATCTTTTAAAAATTAAAGAAGGTTCTACTAAATAAAGGTTTTTTTTAGCTTAAGTAAAGTTGTAAAGGAGATTCTTCTGGTTCTAATGATAGTTAAATCATTAAAATTGGCTTAGTAGATTTTAAGCTACTTGGAGTTAAAAAAGAGAATATTATTGTATAGGAATGTATTAGTTATTTGACTTAAAGAATATAGTAAAGAATTGTCTAACTTTAAAGAAAAATTTAAAACAAACTACTAGAGATTAAAAACTTTGGCTTAAAACTAAAGATTATTAAATACTAAAGAATATATATTTAAAGTTTAAAGAAAGGTTTATATATATTTTTATAAAAATTAAATTTAAATGATTTTTTTGTATAAATTTATATATAAAATTGGGTAATTTGATAGTCAATCAGAGAAGATCTGCAAATTTTTATAAGCAAATTTTACTATAGATCATGATTATTAACCTGGATATTTTTTTTTGAGCCACATGATTTTAAATAAAAAAATAACTAGTTTAATAATTATAGCTTTTTTAGAATTATCCAAGGTCTCAGAGCATTCCTATCTAAAACTTTTTCTTACTCAATAAATTACTCTTAGGCTTCTAATAAAAGTTGTGGAGCTTATCAATATACATCTAATAGTAGTAAGAATATTAAAATTGGTCTGGTAGTTCTTGAGAAATCTTTAAAAAACAGTTTACTAATATATATAATTTTTTTAAAAAAATTAATTTTTTTTAAAGAAATTTCTTAAGAACTATTAAGCCAATTTTAACATTTTTATTACCATTAGATGCATCTTAATGAGCTTTACAACTTTTATTAGAAGCCTAAAAGTGATTTATTTTATAAAAAAAAGTTTAGATTAAAGCACTTCACACTCAAACTAATAGTAAAATTTACTTATAAAAATTTGCAAATCCTCTCTGATTGACTGGTAAATTACTAATTAATTTATAAAGTAATAGCAACTATATGAACATGATATATATAATTATTAATATTGTAATAAAATTTTATATGCATCAACTCTTCCTAATGATCACTTGGACACAAAAACAAGCAGAAGCAAAATTGATAAAAACTCAACAAAAGCTATAAAAAACATTTCAAGTGACTCTAACAAAAGAGAAAGAGCAACAAAATTAACAGGTAGTGAGCTTAGAAAGCAGCAAAGAGAAACTTGTACGAAGCAAGCTATCCAAGAAAAACAAAAATTTTGCGAAGAAATTTTGGAAAAAAGAGGATATTGGTCTGACCCTTCAGCATAGACAGTCAAATCATTGGCTATCCTGAGTCAACAATTACCATAAGTGTATCTGTATAACAAATAAATGTAGATCAATTTTAGAATAACATTTATATATAGATGTAATGTATAATATACGTGATTTATATGAAAGAGTGATGTTTAATATACATGATTAAAAGGCAATAGATTACTTTTTTTTAACCCGAAAATTCATATGACGATATCATTTTATCATAATCATTAATAATTAAGGATTCTGATAATAATTCGAACAAATTATCCAATTTCTTTAAATGTAGAATATTTTATTGTTAAATTATTTTTTATTTTTAAATTTTTTTTTTTTAAAAATTATTTATTTTATTTATTTTTTACATTATATCAATTTTAAAATTTACAACTCCAAAAATGATTTTTTTGCTTGCTCTAATAATCCCGTCATTACATCACCAGATACTTCATAAGCCTCATTTGAATCATCATCATAATCATCATATTCATCGTCAATAGGCTCATTTTTGTCTAATTTTTTTTTTAGACCATATCGGCCGATTTGTTTTGATCCCAAAATCAGCTAATCATTATCGAGGATTATCAAAAAATTTTTCTCGAAAATTTATTGCAAAGCAAATTTTCATAAAAACAGTCTTTTTAACTAGCCTTGCATTTATAATTAAGATGTAGAAATTTACGAAATTCATATATTTAGTTATAAGCCAAAAGTAAGTTAAAAAGACCGTTTTTTTGAAAATTAGCTTCCGAATTTACCTTTGTTAGTTACCAACCTATCAAACAATGCCCAACCCATCCTCAAACACCCGAATATTTCAACAAAAGGTAAAAGTACTTCTTTCTACAGCTTAGCATAGCTCTTTTATTAGTTTTTATTGGTTTTTTAACTAGTTTAGACGTTAAAAAAGCTATTTTGTTAGTTGTAATAAGTACTTTGTTTGTTACTTTTTCAACATCACATAGAAGCAAATTTTCATGTAACAGTTTATCGAAAAAAGGCCCAAAAAATCAAATCAGCCGATATGCTTTTTAATAATGCGTTAGTATTTTTTGTAATTTCTAATTGTAAATAATTCAAACAAATAAAACATTTAAATTGTTGATTTTGTAAAAAATAACTATGATAACTGTGTCCGCATGCTAAAACACTACCGTTAAACGAATCATAAGGGTAATTGCAATAAGAAGAATCATATAAAATGTTAAGGTTAGATTTTTGTGATGTAACAAAACCTCTTGATAAGTGGTAATCTGTTATTTCGTAATCTAAGGACGACAATTTATATGTGTTAATATTATTCGACGAACTAACAATAAAAATATTATTTGATACTTGAAATATTTTGGAAAACATTTCCAAAATTCATATCACGCATTTTTGTGAAAGTGTCCACAATTGTT